TGTCAGCCAATGCCTCCTTTATCCCTGGTCCTCCGGTCATTTGGTCTTTCCTTCCTTTCTTCACCAGAGCCCACACCTGAGTCAAGATGTTCTCAGGGCCTTCGTGTTTCAGCTGCAGGTCAGCCTGCTTGCACTTCTGGGTCAGAACCTACATCACCGCAGCCCGACACCCCTCAAATCTATCTGTATTGTCTGTATCTGCTTCAGATGGCTCTTTTTCCTGCACCTCACTTCCCAACTGTGCGTACCCACTTATCTTCCTTTTCTCACCCATTTTGAGCTCTCTTCGACATTGCTCATTGCTGTAGTCTAGCTGAGTCCCCCATTCCAACCAGCTTTTTATTCTGTCTGCTTTTAACTCCTGAGCTCAAAGCTGACCTCTGACAGTTGACATGTAAGCTTGGGCAAGTTATTTGATCTCCTTCAAATGTGGATTCCTCATGTGCAAGGTGGGGAGAATTTCATGTGAGTTGTGGTGATTAAATGAAAAAAAAAGGCATGTCAATCTCATTAAAACTTAAATCTCTCTTTGTTTTAAACTGTTCATTCCCTCTCTCTAAGAGTATCTAAATGTCATTTCATTCTTTCACCTCCTTCAGGCACACAACCATTCTTTCCACAGGGGGGAACAGTGCCTTATAGGAAGACCAATTTATGCAAGTTTCCTTTCAAAGCAGGCTTTTCTAAAGAGCAATTGTATAGCAAGAGACCAGGATACAGTCAGGCTACAATACTTACACACGCCTCTCTTCAGGAGAAGGGCATTCGTATCCCAAGGAGGGGCTGATTTTTTAAGCTGGGTGTGGTGATCGGGGGCTGAATATAATAGGTAATTTCTTGTACCAGTTTTTGTTTTGTTTTTAAACTAGGCTTATTTCTAGCAAGGGGTTGAATTGTACTTAATTTGTCTGAGCAAGTGAATGAGTTTCTATGTTTTAAACTTCTCCCATTTCCTATTATTTTGGAAGTGATGGGCTGTGGGGGTGCTGGGAGGTTAGAGGACAACAGAAGAAAGTATTGTGGTCAGGGAAGGATGGGGAACTATCCTGAGTTTGTGTCAGAGGATGAAATTCATAGTTTTCTAATGTTGGGCTGTGTTATTCTGTTCTCCCTCCCAGAGCATCTGCTGTTCCATGTTTCAGTGATACTGAGGGACAGGCAGGAGAGGGATGTCAAAGCATTTGAGGACAACAGACAGCAGGAAGAAAAACAGACATTTCCTACCACTTAGGACAAAGGTGGGATGATATACATTGCTGTGTTCTTAAATATGGTTCACAGTCTTAGGAAAAAAATTGCAGTCCTCTCATCTTCATGCCCCCCATCCTCCTTTCCTGGGAACAGAAGGAACAGGAGGAACCATAGGTGGGTAGGAGGGGCATGTGCAGTGTGAGGAAGCAGCAAAGGACACAGTGTGTCTAGAGAGAAAAAAGGAGAAAGAGATTTATACAAAGAAAACCAAAAAAGAGACTCCAGCAAGAGCATACAGTTTTGGGATCCTGTTGTACAGTGGACTCATTTTAAATCTTCAGAATTAAAGATGAAGGAGAAAACCCCATCTATCTTTTCTCAAATTTTAAAATTTACTAATGCTCTTCCTTTAAACTGTGAACTGCCAGTTCTGTGCCTCATCTTTACAGTTGTATACCGTACTGCTGGAAGGTCCTGCAGAGACCACGCAGATGAGAGATAGCACCTTGTGGCATTGCCAATGAGAAGTGGTGGCTGCAGCCTGTGTTGAGAAGGGTTCTGAGGCTCAGTCTGCACTTAGTGGGAAGGGTACTGGGATCCATTAATGCTGGGGTCAGCTAATGCTGTCTGCCATGGGCCTTGGCAGGTGAGAGTTCATACGGTTGTCATCTAAATGGTACCCTTATTGCTAATGCCTAAATCTCTCATTTAATTTGGAGTCGGGAAGGGCTCAGAGACATTAAGCCAGTTGCTGAAATCCACAGTTAGTTAGTATTTCAACAATTTATGTTTTAAAGAAAGAGAAAGTTTCAGGATGAGGAAAAGAATGGAGATGAAGAGGATTAACCATTCTGAAATGAAACACTACCTGCCTTCAAGGCATTGAGGGTTGAAAATAAACCTTCCTGAAGTCTTTACCAGAATTGCCAGGAGCTCTGACTAGTCCTCTGTAGAGCAAATGTGCCGGAAGCCGGGAGCACTCCCGCCAATTGTAGAGGGGCTTCAGAGCTTCTAGGGTGAGGGACTGATTGTTTCTTCCAGGAGAAAATTTTTCTTAGTGCTTGGATGTAGGGATAAAGAAGTATGAAGGAATTTTAAAGTTTATTTGTCTGGGATTAACGGAATTGAACTTAACTTTAGAATCCTTTAAATAGCAGCTCACTTACTGCTATTTCCAAAAAGTTCTTTCTACAGTATATTGGAAAAAAAAAAAAAAGCCCAAGATGGGATTTGAACATGGTTTTAAGAAATCATGGTTGCAGGTAGTAGTCTCAATTGTAAAATAAATGGCAGCATAATATAGCAAGTCTAGCTAAAAGACTTAAACTGTGCATCAGTTGTGGTGACATGCTTTGAGGGGACTCCAGCCCCCAAACCTCTCCTCTACCTGCATGAGAATTACTGTTAAACATTCAGAAATTATTTCTGAAGATACTAATATTTTTGGGTGATAAGTCATTTCAAGTTCATTGTTAACCAATAACAAAGGAAGAAGGAAAAGCTAGTGGTGTGGTAAAGGGATTTGTTACTAGCTGTGGAAGAAGACAAGGGAGTAAGAGAAATAGTGGTCCTGGGAGGTTTGCGTCCAAAGACGGAGGTCACGGTCTCAAGACTACTTCTGATTCTAGAATGTTCAAGTGACCTTAGGCCTTATGTATCTGAAGACACAACAACTAACACAACTAGCTGATGAAAACCAGCCTCATAACACTCAAAATGCCTTTGGAAAATAGAAAAGAGAAAAACAATGTAAGAAAGCATGGGAGTGTTTTCTCTCCAGCATTTCTGAGAGGATGGGAGTAGAAAACCTCGAACAAAATGTTGCCCCAATCTCACTTGGCTAATTTTAGTTATCTTGGTTCATGGCTGTGATTCATCCCTAAAGCTGTGAATTGCTGAGGAGGAAGGAGGAAAAAAAAATTGACTTAAATGTCAAAGGAAGTAGGAACAAAAATACAGTTTTCTTTTTTGGGGAACTAGAATCCCAAGATATGGGGATCTTTTATCTCATGAGGGACAGGATGCTTCAAACTTCTAGAAAAATAATCATCTCCAGTCAAAATATCATCAAGGAATAAGAGACAGCATTGATTATGAGTCATGTCATGTCTGAATTTTTGCCTCCTTTTCTCCTTGTGTATCTCCTTCAATCCCATTAAACTAGAAATCACTGATTATTATATGTAGTTGAGTTATTATGGAAACTAATATGTAGACTATAATAAACAGGTGAGGAGAGATGAATGGAGACAAACAGAACTATGAGAACTAAGTCTAGGGAATGGGCTGGTAGGAAAGAGGAGAAAAGCATGCTTGCACGATGGTCAGATACAGCCTTGCCTGCTAAAGAATAGTGGGCAGTAGACAAGGTTTGGTGAAATTCCACCCTGAGTCAAGAAAAAATTGTTTCAATTTACAAGGGGTCCCCTAGTAAATTGGCTACCACTTTGAATTTCCACAGGTTTGGAGGAAGGATATAGTTACTGATTCAACTCAGCTCGGTGATTGATTTCACTTTCTGAAGTAGCTGACCTTCTTGACCGTTAGCTTGTCCATCATCTCTGTTTGCCTTTTGCCCTTAAAACTTATGAGCAGTAGAAGAAATGTAAGATGGTTGTAAAAATAGGACCCAGGGCATCAGAGGAAGATAATTATGTAGGAAGCAAGTTGAAACAAAGAGTTCCAACGAGTTCTGAGCAGATTCCCCACAGCCCTGAACCTATGAGGACAGCAGCTTCAAGGCACAGTTGTGAACGTTGATTTCTGCACCTCCCCGTCTTCAGCCTCCTTAGCACACATTTTGATTAAAATGATCTGGAGATCGTCCATGTGATCCCTTGAAAAATATTTCCAAGGGGACCCTCCCGGTCCACGTCTTTAAACTGTAATGTACTTTGCTATTTAAATAAATTTCCATCATAGAATTGTCAGCTGTTTACAATGTTCTAGGTTAATTAGTTTGTTTTCCTTAACCTGAGAGCTTTAGTCCTCTTCTATTTTATTAATTTTATCTTTTACTATTCTGTTTTGTGATGGAATGTAAGTGCATGAGTAGTAATATGCATTTCCTCAACATATGGAAAAAAGCCACTTAAAAATATGAATTATCCATAATATATTTCTCAGGTACAAATGATGATCCATTCACATGATAATATATTCCAAGATTCTGATGTACTCTCCATAAATAATATTAAAAATTAAATCAGACCTTGCTTAAAATAATCAATTTTGATAGTTTCTTTTGTAATGCTGTTACCTGTTTACAAATAGTCCAAATGGAGGTAAAGGAGGACTTACAGTCATATTTTTCAAAACAAAAAAACATTTTTAAGGCCTTGTAATTAGTGCTGAGTGTCCAAATTTAAAAACATATATCATGAACCTTATATTTCACCCATTTTTTTAGTATAATGACTAAAGCTTATTATTCTATAAGCTTTTCCAAGATCCTGAAAAATTCAAGGATCTTTTAAGAGTTGCCCGGCAGATTTAGTGGTTAAACAACCATCCAGGAGTTGGGATACATAGAGCTCATTGAGCAGAAATATTAATTCATTTCAGAAGCCATTCTGGATAGTTTCAAATTCTTCTTGGGGGTCAGGAGTTCAACTGATGATCTATGTAGAGTACACCTAGATGCCCATGTCTTTGAAGACACTGGGATATGTGAGTCGGACCCAATGTCAAAATCAATAGATCATTCAATGCATTGTACTGTTCTAATTGTATGATGTTTTCTGCCCCAGTTTCTAGGAGTCACACAGTCTGGGTAGTAATACAAGGAGTATAGTGTCGGAAACACTTACTTGAGTGTGGTGAGTTCTGTAAGGGATGGCTGAGTAGCCTTGAGATAGCTTTCTCTTCGCGCAGCAACTTTGGGAGAAGGCTTGGGACTTGTGTCTGAGTCGCCGCTGTCTTCATCTCCCATGGCCTTGATGTAACTGCCGCTCCGCATTCTTCGGCATGGGATTTCATCATCTTTACTTCTTGGGGTGTACCCTGTCCATTCATCTTGAGGAACCTATTCAGATGTAAAACAGGTAACTCAGCTTTTATAAAATTCTTTTATAAAAATTTTTCTTTCCCTTTCTTTCTTTTTGATATGATCCTTACTATGGGTACTACAACTAATTATCTAAAACTTTAGACATTAACTTTTCAATAATGGTGTTTTACTCTAATTGGTTTGAAAATATTTTGAATACACGCAAATCCATATCTGAATCTTAAAAACAACCCATGTATAACCTGTGTATTAGGAAAAAAAATTAAACTCATTCCTCTGATTTACTTACACTCAGTTTTCTTACCCTGATAATAATGTAATTAAGTATAAGATTGCCATTGGAAAGGAAGGCAGTTATATTTGAGCTTTTCAGTAATTTATTTTTGATTGTCATTTAAAATCCATGACTTTTTCTGTTTTATCAACACCTTCCCCACACCCTCCATCTCTACCATCTCTACCCAGTATCTCTTCTTCTTAAACCAGTGGTCCCTAACAGCTTCAGTGACTTCCCAGTCACCTATTGTTTCTGAACCCCTCTTAATTTGGATTCAGCCTCCATACATTTACTTAAAGCACTCTTCAAAGGTGTCCAATGATCTCCTCAGGAAGCTAGGGGTATTACTTAAATTTTTCTTGGCCTCTACACACCCGTATCCACAGACACACACAAACAAACGTGTGTGCATGCACACGAGCATGCACCCACCCTCTTAAAGAGTTTCTCTACTTACCTGGTAGAGCTACTACTTATCTGATTTGTCCTTTTCCTCTTGCTTTGCTGGATCCTACTCTCAGTCTCTAATTGTGGTACCACACAAGATAATGTTCTCAGTGCACTGAGTTTTCTTTCTACAATCATTTCCTTTGAGTTCAGTAGAGCACACTATACTATAGGGGAATTCTTTATGATTTTCTCTTTGGTTCCTCTTAGATTTTCCACTTCAACATGGACTCAACCTAGGATTTCCTTCTTCCTCCATTTAGCAAAAGAAATGCAGAATGACCACTTTTTAAAAAATTCTTTAAGAAGCAACAAACAGATTATAGTGCACAGAACATTGCATAGGGCGGAATTAAAAGAGGCGAGAAAAAGGGAGGCTGGTTTTTGTCCTCAACAATCTCATAACAGAGATGAGAAAACAAAGCAAAAATGAATTTGGGAGCAGTTCCAAATCAACATATTAGCAAGTTTAAGATATGTTGCCATAAGTGGAATATGCACAAAAGAGACACTAGAAACAGGAGTTATCAGAAATGGGGAAGCAGTATCCAGGAAGGGCTCCCTGGAACTGGCCAGGGTGGCAATGAGAAGGTAAAAAGGTATCTAATATTTTGATGCCAGCTATTTACTGATTATCCATTAAATGATCTGGTGTTTCAATATTAATATTTGATTATGTTAAGTAATTTGCTTACAGGATCTTATTTCATCAACACAATAGCTCTCTGCATTTTTCTTTATTTCTCAGATGAGAGGCAGGAGCTCAGAGAGCTTAAGAAATTTGCCAAAGAACACATAGTTAGTAAAAGAACACATAACAGCAAGTGGGATTCAGAGCATTTTGGTTTACCACCAAAGAACAGAATTTGCTTAATCTAAATGCTGTGATTAACAATATATGGATCTTAAGTCTAAAGTATTCAGAAAATTATCCGCATGTCATATACATGTATTAGATTTCTAAACAGTATGGATTCTAGGAAGTGAGAATAGATGTTCTACTGAAAACACTACTCTTCCCTCCTTAAATCATGAATTTATCTATACAATTTAAAAGCTTATATCTGGAAACATCAGATGAAGAATTCATGGACATGAAAATGGCGGTTTGTGGGTTCTCTTTCTGAAAACTACCAATAAAGTTTGACTAAGCTTTACTATGCAGCTTATTTTATTTAACAAAGTATTATATTCGCTTCCTTTATGCAGGCATTGTTCTAAATGTTTTATAAATGTTAACTCATTTGATCCCCCAGCTGAGGGATAGTATTATTATTATTATTATACCCATTTTACAAGAGAGAAAACAGATTATGGAACTAGCTCAAAGTCCGGCTATGAAGGGGCAGAGAGAGTCTCAGTCCAGCAGCTCCTGTAGCCTTGCTTCTAGGGCAGCTTCTGACCACTGTTTGATACTCTCTCTTTCTGAGCTATGACCTGTGGCACTGACAAAATTGTAGAATTATAGTCCCATGACACTGCTGTGATCCATCACATCTGACCCATTTGCCATTTATTAGTTATGATAGTAACAGTGTAGGGTTTTCACTTTTTTAGCTAACCCCTCCCCCATCAAAATCACCATAGCGACATGGGAGATTTCTTAGGAATACTATAACTGTTGAAAACAGTCTTGCTTTTTCCTCCAGGTGGCAGGTGACTCACTGCAAAGATATGATCATGTTCAGAACCATTGTTGGCTTAGCAATTACATTGTAGAAATTAAGTTGATATAGCTGAGGGTCATATGATGCACACATCACCAGCTATTTCTCAGTACTAATGCACAGTTCGTAAGCACTGCTCTGGAAGATGTCAGAAACTAATGACACACTTATTAGCTCCTCTCACTTATGAAACTAAACACGGCAACTTTCTCTATAGGTCTTTTTTCCCAGTTAGTTTATGGTAGACACTTGGGGATGTGCTAGAAACAGGTTGCAATTGTTGCTAAGGAAGCCAGCTGGGAATTATTTAAACTGTATATCTTTCAGTTAAACAATTTTCAAATGATAGCAGTTAAGAAGTTGTATGGAATGGAATTTACATTGGAGTAGAATTTAAAAATTAATGCATTATTCATATATCTAGAGATAATCTACACCAAGATTACATATGAACCAATACAAAGATCAGTTCTAGGAAAAATGTAAAGAAACAGAAAATCAAGATCTGGGAGAAGAAAAATATCACTGAAGTTGTTGTAAGTGAGCCAGGGTTTTTATCTAGAATCTCTTAAACTCTAAAGCAAGATGGGAGACAGTGGTCAGGTAAATAGTTTTCAAAGAAAGTATACCAGTTTGTAAGGGGCCCAAGCATGAAATTATACTCTCTTTGATTGGAAAGAAAGGAGAATCTTGTTGCTGCAGCTACTATTGTGATCTAGTGGAAGGCTGCTGTGTCTTTTGGCTCAATTGCATAAAGAGAAAAGATTTAGGGAAATTCAAAGAAAAAATTAACTTGTAGTTGTCTGAGAAAGCCTTCTTTATTACTGATCCTAGCAGTTTAAAGGGATGGGAGTCTTGGTAAGGAAGGCAAGCTGGGGCAGATAGAAAAATAGCCTGGACACTTGACAAGCTAGCCAGATGTCCTGCTTGTCTGTACCAGTTTACGGGGTAGTTGGACCCAACAAATGTTAAAGAAACAGTAATACAATCAATCTAATAAAGGTTAGATTTAACAGTAGTTATGATTAGGGAAAAAGATTTGCATTTTAATAAATATGTTTAAGTATTAAACTCTAAGAGTTTTATTTTTGGTGAAACAAAATTGGGATTAGTGTGCATTAGTGTGCATCTGAAAATTTCAGGCATAGCCAGTCTATAACTTACACCACATGTCGAAAAGTACAACCTCTGACCAAGGAATGACCATAACCCAGTGCAACAATCCTCTAATTATAGGATTAGCATGTTTTCTTGGTTGAAATAGCATTATGGGCACTAAATGACAGACCATTCTAATGAAAGCTATACTATAATAAGTCACAGAACAGGAGAAAATGAAACACCCCCTAATGGGGTGTGCTTACATTTTCTGTCTCCCTCATTACCTCAGTCCTGACTTCCTTCCGTCTTCCTCCATTTCTGTGAGTACTTTTTGCTCATTTATTTTCCAGCCATTGTCTGGGTGCTGTGAACAATATAAACACTAGTCGCATGCAATGGAGCTTATATTCCGTGAGAGCATACCCACAAATGAACAGGGCCCATACCTGCCATTAGGAAAATAACACGGGATGGTGTGACAAAGTGGCTGGAGGGGGACTGCTTTAATTTATTCTTTGGAGAAGCCATCAGGAAGGAGTAATATCTGAGAGGAGATCTGGCGACTGAGTTGTCAGCCTTGAGGGAAGCTGGGGGAAATGATTCCAGGCAGAAGGTCAGCCAGAACAGTCTCTAGAGTAAGAATAAGCGTGTTGTGTAATTAAATCCTAGGAAGGAAAATGCTAGCATGGCTGGATAGTTCTGAGCAAGAAGGAATTGATAAGAGAGGCAGGGGTGAGGGAAGGTGAGGGGGAGGGAGTGGGGGTAAGGGAGTGAGGGTTGGGGGGTGGGCACAGGTCACATAGGGACTTGTAAATATATCTCAAATCTTCTTTCCAGACTGAAATATGCAATCCCAAAGCTCCCCACAAACTGCTCCAGCCTGAACTGATCTCCTTTATGAAATCTACAGCATAGTTAAGAGTTCAACAAACTATAGCTGCCAGACCAATTCCAGGGTGCCATCTGTATTTATAAATAGTTTTATTGGCACACAGACACACTCATTATGTACTGACTGTGGTTGATCTCCTGTTACAAGGACAGAGTGGTATAGTTGTGATGGAGACTGCATGATCCTGCACCTGGTCCACCTCTTCCTTCAGAGTACTTAATGTGCAGAATCATGCAATGACATTTACATACACTACTTGCTTTATGTGTCTTTGTGTCATCTCTCCAATTACTGGGTAAGCTCACTAAAATCTGGGGAGGCAGTATTGCTGGTGATTTAGATGCATGGGCTCTGTGATCAGACTGCCAAGGTCTGAATTCCTGCTTGCCAGTAACTAGGCACATTCTTAGGTTAAGTTTATTAACTCTCTGTGCCTCCATTTCCCTGTCCATTTCCTATCCCATAGAATTATGTGTGGGTTAAATGAGGAATGCCAGCAAAGCACACCATAAAGGTCTTTTTTTTGGCAGTTAGGCACTGCTTAGTGCACTCAGATGTTCCCTCATGATGGATGACATTGGTTTTCCAAGAAGACTGATGTCTGCTTTCAATTTTCTTTGGTAATGAAGGG